ACAAATACCACATGATTTCACTCGTTTGGAATTTAAGAAACAAAACAGATGAACATAAGGGAAGGGAAAAAAGAGAGAGGGAATCAAATCATAAGAGACTCTTAACTACAGAGAACAAACTGAGGATTGGTGGAGGGAGGTGCATGGGGGATAGGCTAAATGGGTGATAAGTTTTAAGGAGGGCACTTGTGATGAGCAGTGTGTGTTATACAGAAGTGGTGAATCACTAAATTGTACACCTGAAACCAATTTTACCATATGATAACTAACTAGAATTTAAATAAAACCATACAACTAAACAAAAAGACTTAAGCAGGTTTAACTGCTAACGGGGAAGGATCCAGTAGAGCGGTGGGCATTGAAATCATCTAGAAGACTCGTTAAAACAGATTGCAGGACTGCACTTCTAGAATTTCTGATATAGTCATTTGGGGGTGTTGCTGATAATTTGCATTTCTAACAAGCTTTCAGGGAATGCTGATGCTGATGGAATGGGTATCACACTTTGAGAAACACTGAGAAACAGGTTGGAGAAAGTTGACTGGGAAGCTCTGGAGTTCAAGCAGGAATATCTGTCCTAGGTAGAAGGAGGAACACTATTGTGTAGGATGCAAGAAAAAGATGAACGCAGACCTATGTAGGCTTAAAGGTTAGGGAACAGAAATTGTCAAAACTTCTTCTCTGGTGGATCCTATTTTCATTATAAGTAAGAACTGAGATACTCTGATGAGAATCAGGAAGGAGAATGAGGGGTAGGGTAAGAAGTTAGAGGAAGTTAAGGAGGTTGGTATGGTCCTTATAACGAACAAGAGAGCATCATGACAAGAGAAATAACAGCACTGCAACCAGTGTTGGAGACGTTGGTGAGGTTCACAGTCATACATCTATGTTGATACCAATCTGCTCTTTTACACCATTGAAGTTACTGATAAAAGAAATCGTATCAGCTGAATAAGGTTCAAGGGCAATCAGACAATTCCAGCGGTTTATATCTTAAAAATATGTCTAACTAAACATGACTGTCCAGCTGTGTAAGTAAGACACACAGTTAAGAGGGACTAGCTAGGCAACTAGAGTTGCCTCTAAACAAATCCAGAGAAATTCCTATATATCTCCTTGTTCCTGAAGCTCTAAAGTGATAGGTGCTTATTTTACCCCTCACTGCCAGTGTGTTATATTTGTAGTAGTACTAAACTTAAGTTTTGCTCACTTATAATCAACTTTTTTTAAAAGGAAGCATCATTTTATAGTGAGATACTAAAAATCTCCATTAAGAAAGATGAGATACAGAAGTACAAATCCTTACCTTATTCCACTCACTCCTTTCTGTTCTATCCACTTGCTGCTACCATGGAAAAGCTATCAGCTTGCTCAGATTTCAGGCTCTGACACATCATTTTGAGTTGTGTTGCTCACTAGGAACCAAAAGTAACAAGAAAGCAAGAAAACTGGAACCATAAATCAGCACTGTACAAATAGTGCTGGTTGTGGTAAAGGTCAGGAGAACTGGAATCTAGCAGGCTGACAAGCAGAAGAAGCTTCTGAACTATAGGAAGACTGGGGGAGGGGGTGAAAAGCCCCAAACACCACTATACCCCAGCTTCCACCTGGGAAACCATAATTGAATACAAGAGACAAAGGATGGTAACAGGGTTCTTCACAGAACCTCAGGGAGAATACTGTGGGTTTTAAAAAAAAAGTCCCTATGAATACCCACCATTTTCTTTGATGTGGATGGAACTGGAGGGTATTATGCTGAATGAAATAAATCAATCAGAGAAACACAATTATCATATGGTTTCGCTCATATGTGGAATATAAAAAATAGTGAAAGGGACTATAAATGAAAGGAGGTAAAGTGGGTGGGGAAAAATTGGAGAGGAAGACAAACCATGAGAGACTCCTAACTCTGGGAAACGAACAAGGGGTAGCAGAAGGGGAGGTGGGCAGGGGGCTGGGGTGACTGTGTGATGGGCACTGAGGGGGGCACGCTTAATGGGATGAGCACTGGGTGTTATACTATATGTTGGCAAATTGAATTTAAATTTAAAAAAATGTCCCTAGGATTAGGGCCATGTGAAATACATGTTAATGTTATTGATACTGGTTTATTGTTTATTTTTTTATTTTTAGAGGTTTTATTTACTCGAGAGAAAGAGAGAGTGCACACATGCGCACATGAGTGGGGGGGGGGAGAGGAGAAACAGACTCCCTGCTGAGCAGGGAGTGGACTGGGGCTCAATCCTAGGACCCTGAGATCATGACCTGAGTAGATGCTAAACTAAATGAGCCACCCAGACACCCCTATTTATTTATTTGAGAGAGAGAGAGCACAAATGCAAGAGTAGGGGAGGGACAGAGAGAGAGCAGCAGTGAGGGAGGGAGGGAGGGGCAGAGTGAGAGGGAGAGAGAGAGAATCCCAAGAAGCCTCTGTGCTGAGCATGGAGCCCAACATGGGCACACTCCCATGACCCCAAGACCATGACCTGAGCCTAAATCAAGAGTCCCATGCTCAACTGACTGAGCCTCAGTGCCCCTACTTATTTTAAATAATAACATGTGTGACAGCTGGAAATGGAAAGGGAAGACAATGTAAATAATATGGCATCTGATTCAAGAATCTAAGGAGCATAGGGATTACAAACACAGACACCTACACACAGGAATTCGGATTCAGATAGAGAAGGCTAATGACTAAACAGTTATTAAACAATGAAAGACTTTCACGCTGGCTGATGAATAGCTGCCATCCTGAGCTTCTTGAGTGCCCCTTGCTGTCTCAGTCTCTCTCTCTTTTTAAAAAGATTTTATTTATTTGAGAGAGAGAGAGAGGGAGAGAGAGAGAGGGAAAGAGAGAGAGCGCACAATTGGGAGGGAGAGACAGAGGGAGAGAGCCTAACTTGAGGCTTCTGCGATCATGACCTGACCTGAAGGTAGACACTTAACCAACTGAGCCATCCAGCTGCTCCTGCCCCAGTCTCTCCTACATTTCTTTTTTTTTTTAATTTTTTTTAAATTTTTATTTACTTATGATAGTCACACAGTGAGAGAGAGAGAGAGGCAGAGACACAGGCAGAGGGAGAAGCAGGCTCCATGCACCGGGAGCCCGACGTGGGATTCGATCCCGGGTCTCCAGGATCGCGCCCTAGGCCAAAGGCAAGCGCCAAACCGCTGCGCCACCCAGGGATCCCTCTCCTACATTTCTTCCTTCATCACATCTCCTCACATTCCCAAAGCTGAGGGGTTAAAACTAGCACTGAGCCTTCAGGGTTCTTAATCTCTATGTTAAAATCTCCACTTGGACTGGTCAATAGTCCCTATCATATTAGTTGTTAAGTGTCTTAATATCACTGCTGTATATAGATGTATGTTGCACAGAATTATCTGCATACTGTGAATTGTCTGATGAAGAATTACCTGGGTTATTTGTCAAAAATGCAGATGCTTGGGTGCCACACACTGGACCCACTGCATCTCTGGGAGAAGAGCCAGGATATGTATTTGTAACTATTTTCCAGGTGATTCTAGAATATCATATCAAATATAGTCTGTATTTTCTAGCATCGAGCAAATCTGTCTGTATTACATCTAGAGGCCAAGTTCTTTGAAGGGAGGGTCCTAATCCTAACACTCTTGGTATTCACCACTATACTAGCTCAGTATAATGATCTACGAGCTTTGATAATGATACACGTTGATGGTGATGGCAATGGCTAATCTTGGTGAGTGCTTACGATGTACTAAAAGTACATGTGCCTTAGAGGCATCATCAAATTGGATCTCAGTAATCCAAAAAGGTACTATTATTATCTCCATTTTATGGCAAAGAAACTGAGACTCAAGATCTCATTGTTGAAGGGAAACAGACTCTAATCTTGGTCTGTCTGACTTCAAAGCCTGTATTCTCTCTGATTTGCTTAAGTCATCCTACTTCTTAGATTATAAAACAATTCTACAGATAACCTATAAACCATATTCTTTGAAATTCCTCTCTTCAATTTGCTTTTGTTTCAAATTTATTTGTTTCATTTTGTCATATATGTGGAGTGGAAGTAGGCAAGGAAGAGGAGATAGTAGAAGCTATATTCTCGGACTTTCCGGGGCCAAGGTTAAGGACATTGAATACAGAAAGTAGAAGATATAGTGGTGCTTGGGTGGCCAGTCAGTTAAGCATTTGATTCTTGATTTCAGCTCAGATCATGATCTCAGAGTTGTGGGATTGAGCCTTGTGCTGGGCTCCACTCTGAGCATGGAACTTGCTTAAGATTCTCTCTTTCCCTCTATCCCTCTCCCTCCTCTCTCTCTAAAAAAATTAGAAGATATATATACATATATATATATTATATATATCAATATTTTTCAATATTTAACAGCTATTGGAAAGCTTTTAGCTAAATAAAAATAAAGTCTAACTGAAAAAAGAACATTGCAGCTGTCAGATTTTGAGGTTATAGCTAGAAATTGAGCAATAAGAAAAGGGAATCAAGATGAGAACTCACTGTTGAGAAATAATGAGGGCAACTGTAATTTGAGAAAGGTCATCAGCGGACCAGGTGATGCCAGACTTGACAATGGGCAAGACAAGCAGTCTGGACATGAAGAAATTAAGGCAGCTTATAGGAGGGGGTGGATCGAAAGTTGGAATAAAGAATGAGTTTTATATGCATTCAGGTTTGTTTTGACGTATTTTGCCCGGAAGCTGGGATTAATGAGCACACAGAGTGTTATAATTTCATTCTGGTTAAAGCATCCTTATGCACTGAGCTTAATGAAGAATGGCTAATTAACATCTTTTGAACATAAGAGGGAAAAAAGAATATACATCAGAATTGTCTTTTCAAGGCAAAACAAACACAAAATCAAAATCTGGATAAACAGAATCAGGGGACTTATTCAGACTTCAATATGTCAATCCTGGTGCTTTTCTTTAGATACAGATAACTTTCTAATCATGCTTGATTCATTCATGACATATGGGGAAAACTAGAGCTTATTCTTACTGGGATCTGGGCAAAATCCCCACTTCTCATCTCTTTCATAGCGGCTTGTCGTGGCACACCACAGTAAGTCGTCTTCCCGCCCTTCCTGGGTGCATTCATGATGCCACTGTCGGTTATACTGGAAAGGAAACATGCACGGCATCCCGTGGGCATTCCCTTTGATTGTGTACATATCTAGAAGAAAAAAATCAAAGTTAAATAAGAATTATGTCAGCTTTATCTTTGAAAGCTATCATACAGAGAATGCATTTCTTATTGACTGAAAATCTACGAAGGCGAAGGCCCTTGCTATACCACAGAGAACCCTCAGGACCTCACTGTCTAGAGTGTGTAGCAGTACAAGGGAAAGTGCTGGCTTCAGAGCACGGGCTGGTAAGTGGCTTGTTTAGATATTTTCTTACCTGTTTATTTACAGTGGTGCCCTGCCACAGTAGCACATGGGTTTGTCAGTGGATGGGAAGGAAAATTAAATGAAGATCGACTTTAAAATACCTTCTGGCCCCCAAATATATCAGGGATCTGAACCTCAATAGTTTTATCAGGATTTATTTTTTAATTGGAATTTATTCATTCATTCAACAGATATTTATTGAGCATTGAATGCGCCCAGCATTGGGGATGTACTGGAGAGCAAACCTGCAAACGTTCCCTTTCATATGGAGCTTCTGTTCCAGTGGGGAGAGACAAAGAGAAAGCAAATATATAAGTAAATGTATAATTCTGGGTAGTGATAAGTGCCACGAAGAAAAACTTAAGTGCCACGAAGAAAAACAAAGCAGGACGGGAAGATAGAATAGCTCTGTGTGTGTTTGAAGGATGGAGGGGCACCATTTTGGAGAGGGTTGCAACGAAGGCCTCTCTGAATGAGAACTGGGTGAAGTGAAGGAGCAAGTCTTTGCAAAAGAGTTGTTCTGGTAGGAGGAACAGCAAATATAAAGGGCCTGTGACAAGAGCCTGCGTGGGGTGAATGGGGAAGAGCAAGGAGGTGCAAAAGGAAGTGGCATTGGGGAAATGCTGGCGCATCAGCTCACAGAGGGCCGGCTCTGCCACATTGTGGATTTGGGCCTTGACTATGAGGGTGGTGAGAAGTCACTAGTGAGTTTTGAAAGAGAAAATGACATGATAAGATTTCCATTTTTAAAGACTAACTCAGGGTGCAGTGTGGCAAACTGAACCTACACAGGAGAAGGGAAAATGGGATGACTAGTTAGGAGGCCTCTACAAGAGTCTAGGGGAGAGGAGTGTGAGGAGGTGTCCTGTCAGCTGCTTTCTCAGAGTATTTCTCAGAGTAATTGGGTATCCTTGGCCTTAATCATGACTCAACGGGGGCTTTCCATGGTGAGGGGGCTCAGAGCCACCCTCAATTAAGTCAACAGGTCCTGGAGCAGAAGGGCCAGCTGTGGAGGTTCCCACTCCTTCACCACAGTTGGCAGGGGCTAGACTGAGCACACGCCACATTGCCAGGCCTGGAGGTTTGGGCGTTTAGGAAATACAGATATTTCAGGGCACGTCATCTTATTTCAATACCCTGACTTCTACTCAGTGCGTAAGAATGTGAGTACATGGCTAAAAAATGAATATAAAGCAAAATATTAAGTTCTTCCTTAGAACCATAGACTATTCAGAGTGCTGGCTTGCAGCACTTGCTTATTGTGAGTCCTTGCAAATGGCTTGCTCTTGGCTCTGTCAAGAATTTTACGCCAGTAAAATTCATTTACTGCAGGTACAGAAGAAAGTCTTGCTTTGAATCTTAAGAGTGTCTTGCTCTGTTTCCTAGGACTGGTATAAAGTCCTTAGAAGGGTATGCTCTTGTTAAGGCATAATTCTACAGAGCACCATGAGGTCAGGGGCCACATCTGTCTCATTGGCCTGTGTAAATTAAGTGTCTAGCACTGTACCCGAGAAACAATCAGTGCTCAATAAATATGTGAAGGTTGCATAGATGAATGAATGAAGAGAGCTACAGAGCAAAAAATCTAAGAAACAGGTTTGAGGTTTCAGAATTTATGCCATTTTCTTTGTCCTTTTATTTCCTGCTCAGAATGCCAAATATTAAGGAATTATGGAGAAATAAAGACCTTACTCCTGAAATCATAGTTTCCCATCCCTTGATACATGTCAATTGCTCCTGACAGTAGTCTGTGGTTTATCTTTAAATGCCTTGGGCAGCTCGGTGGCTCAGCGGTTTAGCACCATCTTCAGCCCAGGGCCTGATCTTGGAGACCTGGGATCCAGTCCCACATCGGGCTCCCTGCATGGAGCCTGCTTCTCCCTCTGCCTGCATCTTTGAGCCTCTCTGTCTCTCTCTCTCTTCTGTCTCTCTCTTCTGTCTCTGTCTCTCTTTTATAAATAAATAAATAAATAAATAAATAAATAAATAAATAAATAAATAAATGCTTTGCCCATGAATGACATGGATGCGAGTGAGGAGGCTCTGAGGTGCTCTGTAGTCATGCTCATACATGGGGCTGAGTTTCTACAATAAGGGAAATGGTGGCACCCTGACCAGTCTTTACTTCAAAGACCTTTTCTTCCCACCTTTATTTTCTTTTTCTCTCCTATTCTTCTAGTCTTTCTCCTCTTTTCCATTGATTCCCAGTTATTTAAGTGTTTTCACCCCTAATACCTTTAAATTCTGAGTTTTGCTTCTTTAGCAGAATTTAGAAAGTTCATTCTAAGACTCCAATAATCCTTTAATAAGAGTCAAGTAAGCAACTAAAATGTATTTAGCAGAAGTCCCTCAAGGCTCTAGGTGTTGGTGCTGTCATATAATATAATTTACAAATCTTTACTTTAGGGGCAAACATTCTAAATATATCATTTCATAAATACTTTTATTTAAATTATTTTTTACCTTTGTGCAGATATTCACAAATGCTTCCACCATCTGACAAATAGGAAATCCACTTATGAAGATATTTCCATGAGGCCACAAGCATATTGTTGTGATTCACCTGGACTGTGTACTGGAGAGGGCCGATGATCATGTTCTTGTTACAGTGCCATCTCAAGGAAACGTGAGTGGAATCACACTCATATATGCTTAATGGCTGCTCTGGATTAGATAAATTCAGGCCCAGGCAACCACTGCCTCCTATGTTAAAGAGGTGGTGGTTTGAAACCCATTTCCAAAGCATGTGCTTGTTTGGTGGCTTGCAGTTCTCCAGGGTCAGTACAGATTTGCCTGCTTGAATGCATTTCTTGAGGCTCTCACTCTGGATAAGGAACATTCCTTTATCTGAAACAACAAAATAGAAAATATGGCATGGAACTTTCATATATCATTAACTAGTGTCATGAGGATCCCAGTGTGCATGCCCATGCTGCCATGTGCTATAATTTATGGTCATTTTCAACGGATCTGGAGTTGATAGATGTATCCACCAGAAGGACTTTACTTGCACAAAACAGAGAGATTTCTTGGGAAACATAAATGGACTTGTTGGAACTAATGGGAAAGTGACCTAAGACATCCATGGCCATATAGTAGCAAAGGCTGTCTGTGACTCCACAGGGGAGTGGTATTATGGTGAAGGAGCTCACCACAACTGGAGAGAGAACAGGGATTGGTAATAACACCAAGGGCTAAAGGAGAGGGACATTGTGTGCCCAGAAGTTTGGTGACACTTTGATTTTCTTCAAGCAAATGCCTGAATATTAGAAACATACCAGCTGAATCGAAAAGTCACTTAAATAAAAAGTTCTACCATCAAATTCCTATAGAAAAACAAAAGGGGATATAAGTAAAGTGCTGTTTTGTGTCTTGATACAAGATGCAATACTGGTGGGGGAAAAAACTTCTCCATATTCATTCTCTTTTATTCCATGTGGAATAAAAACATAAGGACATTTGCTGTGGGGATGGCCTCTTCACAAGAGCAGCCTTGTTGGGTTGGACTAGTAGTAGATGAATGCCCAAGACGCTGGTTCAGGCCTGGCACCATTCGTAGATACATGAAAAGTGGTAGAGTGCTATGGCAGTGGCAAAAACCACACAGGCCACAGGAAGATAAGGAGAAAGCAGCTTTTGTGACATACCTCTGAGCCTCTAACCCCCTGGAGCCAGAAGAAGAGATTTGAGTGAATTCCCTGTGGAAAAGCTGGTGGGGCTCAACCAAGGAATGGTGTTAGCTACGTGCCCACTATCTGACTATACCTAGAGTCACTGGTCTGGAAAACATCTGCTATGTGGTTATGAACTTGTCCTCTCACAGGTTTTTCAAAGGTAGAAATCATCTAATTTTTTCAGTCTAAGCACAGAATGTACTGAGGACATTATAGAAGTTCAATAAATACTTAATGTTGATTAAATGTGCTGACAGCTACACAGGCCTGCCTGTATAGGCTCGGAGGCCTAGGGTTCCTGGGTTACTCAGCTCAGAATGTCAGTCAGGTCCAAGAGCTCTTTTGTTCTTTCATTAGGTAGGCTCTCTTCTTATATTTTACCTCCTGTCCATTCTTTTGAAAGCTGAAGGGACATTATCAGCTTTCCTTAAAATGCCTGTGGTTTGGGGCAAGTTGTGTTGTGTGGCCAGGGCATAGAAGTAACAGGCAGAGGCCTTCTAGAGATTTGGAATGGTGCAGAACAAGCCGCCTTGTGAGTCAGTGCATGGGGACAATGCTTCATTTTGGTAAAAGTTCTTTGTTTTTTTCAAAGTTACTCAGGCCAAGAACTGATTTACAGTAACCAAAATCACTTAAGACATTGTTAAAAAAAAAAAGATTGTCAATGTATTAATAAAAGCTATACCTCGTTTAATAATTGATAACCTTATTTATAACCATACATTTGAGGAGTTGAATTAGTTGTCAGAAAATTGCTTTGATCATCATATATCAGAGCAAAAGAGAAGCGAGTGTGTGTTTGGGCGGGGGAAGAGAATGAATGGTTTTAGGGAGATTTCATTTAGATCAGGAAATTTGTTTTCCTAATGTAGACCATGTCTATATGGTTATTAGTAATACTCATTCAAGATCAAATCTACCCCTTGCCAGTGCTGTGTGGACTCTGATAATTAACCTTCTTTCCAACTCTCCTTTTCACCTTTTCATGCTTGGGTAGAACGTTAACCTTAATTTCTGTTGTAACCTACTAATTACTTTCTAGCTAACCCAGAGTTTCATTAATTTTTCACTAAAGGATAATTATTTTACTATAATTGTTCTGTAATTTAGCTTCTATCTCATATACATGTTCAAATATCTCCACCTATTTACTGGCTGGATCTCAGCCCTCTGGGCCTCAGTTTATACACTAAGATGGGTGGACAGACTAGTAGTTGATGTCTCTCAAACAGGCAGACTAGTCTGGAACTTTGGGAAATTTTTTTAATCTCAATGAGCCTTGCCTTTCCCTTTTGAAATGGGAGCATGCGTGCTACTGACCTCACAGGGATAGCAAGAGTATTGAGTTAAATAACCCATGCAAAGCACATCACCCACCACTTTGGCATAGGAAGACTTCAGCAAACTGATGTTGTTATTATCGTTACTATTATCCTTTTGGCTTCCCAATTCTCTGTCTGCAGAGGCAACTGTAGATCCAATGGAGCACCTGGAGAGTGCTAACTTGAGCGTCCCCAAAGACTCCAGTCATTTTCAGAAAAATTCATCTTTACTTTAGCTTTTGCAGCACACAGTGTGTATAGGCTTTTTAGTTTTAGATAATCCTGAGATCACCTTTTATGGAGTAAAAATACTCTTCGAAAGCCAAAAAACAAATTTCTTGTCTTGTTTGCTCAAATATATGTGCAATCATGAATTAAGAGTCTTCATCTGTTCCTCTTTCATGCTCATCTATCTGAAAGTCTATTCTGCAGCTCTCTTATGAGAAAGAGAAAAACACATGATGTTGATAAAAGGTGTATGGATGAGTGAATCGGTAAATCAACATGGAAATTATATATCATTAAAATTTTGGGTGGATAAGTAATGTTTTTAAGTGTTCAAATTATTAAGTGTTATGAGAAAAGGAGTGTCAGAATCAGAACTTCTAGTTACACCAGTGATCATAAAAATACCTTCCTGAAGCAGAAGATATTAGATAAACTTAATCCCATGCTGCTCACTTTTGGAGTGTTATTATGTTTTCATGCCCAGCTGCCTTTAGAATGTAGCTTTGGAAAAGTTCCTTGGAATGTATCATAAACAAGTAGCTGTGGCTTAACAATAACAATAAATATGCCATCTCCAAAAGAATACTATGCCATACGAAGCTAAAAAATGGCCCAATCCCATTTTCCCATTAAACTATAATAGAATCTGGTCCTGGCACCATTAATCTCTATAAATTCACTGAAGAGAAAACAATTGCTTTCAAATAGACTATGAGGAGACCCAAAATAGATATCAATATTCTGATGATTATTATATGCATATATGGGTTGTCTGTAACAAAAACATAATGTGAAGAAAAGCCACCAATCCTTCGTGTCTATAGTCAGGTTTTAGAAAGGATGAAAATCAAAGGTGGGAGGAAGCAAGATTGATTATATATGTCAAGGACATCAGTTCTGCTTGAACACTGATTAAGTGATTAATGAAGTACTGCCAGAATTACTAAATCTCTTTGCAGTAAAATGTTATTATACTTCCCTTCATAATTATAAGTTTAAGAGGAGAAAAGGATTGATTTACTAGAAGTAACTTATAAACTAATTTTTATCCTTTTTTGGAGAGGGAATAAAATAGAAGATAGTGGTTCTACTTTCTACTTCTGGGTTCTTTTGAGGAGGAGATCATTTTAGATCCACTCTTTGGCCCCACAGGATAACATGCACTTTTCTAAAAAATGGGAGGAGAATTCTTCCTTGATTAAATGTAGGACTTCAGCCAAAGGTAATCCTTTCATGACTGCATGTAGAATATTACTTTATTTCACAAGTATTCGTTGGGTGCTAGCCACATGGTAGGCACTGTGTAGGATACCAGAGATAGAAAGAGGCATTATTTGGGGCAGCTGGGTGGCTCAGTGGCTTAGCGTCTGCCTTTGACTCAGGTCATGATCCCGGGGTCCTGGGATCGAGTCCCACATCAGGCTCACTATGGGGAGCCTCCTTCTCCCTCTGCTTATGTCTCTGCCTCTGTCTCTGTGTCTCTCATGGATAAATAAATAAAACCTCTCTAGAGAGAAAGAGAGAAATTATTTTCCTAAATATCTGTCCCTTAAAAGTATATCTATTTCTTCTGAAATCATGAGAATTCTGGTTAATGAAAAAGAAGGAAGTTCCATCAGTTCCAAAGAAAACATTACAGCTACATTAGAGTATCCCTTAAAGGCAAGTGATGAAAAACAAAAGAAAATAGCCCAGAAATTGAAACACTTGACTGGATCCTCAACTAGTGTCCTATATGAGATAGACAGAGGTCCTTAGTGTCATCGGATCATTCTGAGTGGGGAGAGTGTTGGTATATGCATGCACTTGTCCACTTTCCAGGGAGGAGACAGCGAACAACGCTGTAAGGAATGAGGTCATTTGGAGGAGACTAACTCTAACCATAAACCTGAACCATAAACTTTAGAACTGGTGGGACTTTAAAGGTTATTTAATTGAGTCATTCCTTTACATTTTTTCCCAAATCCATTTTGTCTTTGAAGTTTAATAGCCACATGTTCAGTGAGGACCATAAAGGTCTTAGTCTAGCTTTATTTACACACGTTAATTTATAACCTATAAAGGAGAAAACAAACTGCTGCAAATTGTTGCCAAACAATTTGAAGTAGGAGACTTAAAGTTTCAAATGATTTTTCAGTCCCTAGTATGGTATGTGTTAGGAACCCTGCAGAAAAGAGGATACGTATGTCATAGTGTTTGCCCTTAAGGAATTGATGCTATCCCTGAGAGCACATCATGAAATGTACAGAAAGAATTATACCTTAATGCTGAAGTATATTTTGATTTCAGAGGTATAAACAAACACAATGAGGAAGAAGCGGATCTAGAAGGGGTGATTTGGCCTATCAGAGATATCTCTTGCTTTCTTTCAATCTCTCTCTCTCTCTCTCTCTCTCTCTCTCTCTCTCTCTCTCACACACACACACACACACACACATTTTTGTTCAACAGTCCTTTATTAGGGACCTAACATTTGTCACACGTGGAGGTACTTTGGTGAAACTAGCCAAGCAAGATGCCTGTTTTCACTGCAGAGAGAGAGAGAGAGAGAGAGAGAGAGTTCAGAGTAGTGGAGGAGGTCTATAGATGCACAGCCAGGGAGTTGGGCAAGGGGGCATTCTGG